AGAATAAATGTTAAAAATTTAAATGAATGATAAAATCAAATCAAGTCTTTACATATTTAAAAATAAATAAATTGTCAATTAGTTGTGCATTATTTAAGGAAGGGTAATTAAGTAATACAGAAAAAAGGTAAATTGAATTGTGTACTTAATAACAAGAAATTTATATATAAGTGAACTTAATCGAGTAAAAATCTTATCTGTGAATTTTCTCTCAAATAAATCTCAAAAAATGTACCCACACCCAATTTTTTTTTTGTTAATTTGTTTTGTTTGGGCTTTATTTGGTTTGGAATTTATTTATTTTGGGCTTTATTTATCAATCCAACTCAGTTCTATGTTTATGGATTGAAATTTATTTTTTGTTTGGGCTTATGAATTTAGGTCCATGCCAATTTTATTTGAGTATTTATTTCATTTTAGTTTGGACTTCAATTATAGACATTATTATTTTTTTACGAAAAATTGTGGATAGGTACCATATAAACTACTTATTTGTGGTAAAATACCATGTGGAAACTTTGTTGTAGATAAATACCTCTAATTGTAAGCTATTTTTTAAATATTTCCTTTACCTAAATACCATTTTCTATAATTCATGTTTAGGCAGTTATTTTATTTGTGGGATTTAATTTTATTATATCAACAAATTCATATTTTAATGGATGAGGACATTTAAATTTTGAATGTACATTTTTTTTCTACTCAATGTTTGGTTTTCTATCTAAACCATTACCGATTTTTTCATCTATCAACTATATCATCATCTGTTATCACTGTGATTTTTATCGTTCTATTCAGAAAATTCTATTAAGATATTGTTATGAATATTGTTTCATAGACGTCTCAACGGATTTGTAGCTTTAAAGTTGAATAACAACATCAAGTTTGGGTATATATGTTTTATGTTAATGTAACGACCTATTGATTTCAAATGCGTAAAATTTAACATCAATAACTAATTATTTTCATATTGTTTGTGATGTTAATTAGTGATGGTGTCTTCCATTAGTGTCTACTGTGTTGTTACACTGTGACAAGCATTGTTGGGTACAACTAACTCATTTTTTTTATGTCGCACTGTGTCAAGTATAACATTTATTTTGTTTAGCAATCAGGCAATGTAAATGCACATTATTTCTCACAGCGTGACAAATANTTTTTTTTTTTGGGGGGGGGGGGGCGAATGCTCTCTTTGAGGATTAAATTTTGAAAGAAAGATCATTCTCTTAATTCTTGTAAAATGCTTTCATTAATGGTCAAACATCCTTATCACAGAAAAGTGTATGCAAGGTTATAACAATATTTTTCATTATTAGATAGACTTTTTTACAAAACATTTTTTATAGGAGACTTTTTCACAAATAAATGTATGATGGTGTATCGGCCTTCAAAAAATTCTATTTTTTAATGTCTTCAATGAGTACCAATCAAAAATCATAGGCTTTATCATGGGACTAAAGGTCTCGTTAAAGTCAAGCCCTTATTGTTGATGGTAACCCTTAGCTAAAAGTTTGGCCTTGTACCTTTCAATAGTGTCATCTGCATGTCTTTTAATCTTGAAGAATAATTTAAATCCCACAATATTAACAATAAGATTTGGAGGAACAAGATTCCATGTTCCATTTTTTAGTAGAGTATTGAATTCTTTTTTCATAGTTGTCCGCTAGTGTTGGTGTTTAGGAGCCTTTATGAAACAAGTTAGCTCTTATGGAGTGGAAATAGTAGCCGTTATTAATGCACGTGGCAGGGGATACCTGGTATTAGATTTCCGAATATTGTTCTTAGATCTAGTCACCATCCCACGAGTTTGTTGTTTTTTAGTTTGACTTGGCAAAGACATAGCTGAACGTGGAATTTGTTCCTGAAAATAGGGTTACATGATGAAGAAATTATAGGAGCTAATTCTGATTCAGAATTCCTAGCAGGAGCAGCAATCACACTCCTCATGGAATGATGATTTTGAGGAACATCTGGAGTTGAGTGGGAAGTTTGGGCAAGTGGTATTGAGGACTCGAGAAAAGTTAGTGTGTTTGAACAAAGAGATGACTGTAGGTTAAGACAATGAGGGAGTTTAGCAAGATCAGAAGGATGGGGAATGTGAGTTTGTTTAGGTTTCACATAGAGAAACAAGGGCTCGTTAAACACTACATGTCATGAAATATAAACTTTGTGAGTTGATAAATCGAGACACTTGTAGCCATGATGTCTAACACTATAATCAATAAATACGCATGTTTTTAATAGAAAATCAATTTTATGTTTATTGTATGGTCATAGGTACAGCTAGCATGCGCAACCAAAAACCCTCATAAATGAGTATTATGATTTTTTGTTATAAAAAACTTGGTATGGAGATTTATTTTTTAAAATTGGTATAGGATGGCGATTTAAAATATAAGTTGCAGTTTGAAAAGAGTTCTCTCAATATTGTTGCAATAGATTAGAATGAAACAGAAGATATAAGTCAATCTTAACAATCCGTGTATGTCTTTTTTCTATTGTACCTATTTGTTGTTGTGTGTACGAACAAGAGGTTCTGTGTGCAATTTCTTATTTTTTAAATAGTATGTGAAACGTCTATATTTGCCTCCCCAATCAATTTGGAGAGATTTTATTATTAAGGTCAAAGTGATGCTCAACATAATTTTGGAATTGCACAAAAATCTGCTAACATCCGACTTGAGTTTCATTTGGAAATATCCATACAAATTTGGTGCAATCATCAAGAAAACTAACATAGTAACGTGCCCGTGAGTTAGAAACAACAAAAGTTGGTCACAATACATCTAAATATAACAATTTTAAAGGCTTAAAAGCATAAGCAAGCATAGATTTAATTGGCAAAGTGTGGCTCTTGGCCATTAGACAATCTTGACAAACAAAATGTCATTTATTGTTAACTGGGTTGGAAAAAGAAACGACTTGCTTCACAACGGGAAGAGAGGCATGTTCAAGTTGTTTATGCCAATCTTGAAAAGAGGCACAAGTGATTGAAAATGCTTTGGGACTGGAACGTATGAAGAGAGAAAAGAAATTGTAGAGACCCTCACTGATTTGCCCACAATATAGGACATTCTCCAAGTTGTCCTTCACAAGAAAAAATGATTCATGAAATTCAAAATGAACATTATTGCTTTTGCAAAATTTTTGGACCGATAACAGATTTTTTTGAATATCTAGAACAAGTAAAACTTGATTAAGAACAAAAATTTTTGGAGTGGATAAAAGAGTTGTTCCAATTTTTGAAATTCTCAACCTTGTATTGTTTTTCTCTTAAATTTGATATGTTTTATCATAATCATCACTCTTGAGGATGAGGCTTTTAACATAATTTGTGACATAATGTGTTATTCATGTATGGAAATACTAATCATTGTCAATAATTTGATGATATGTTGTCATCATGAGACAGACATGATGAAGTAATTTTTTATGCACTAAATTTGTGTACAAAAATTTGTACTAAATCAACTACAATCTTTAGATCAATAATAAGACCTGCTAATCTAACGGTCGTAAATGATTTGATGGACAAATTTGATATATATATATATATATAAGGGTTAATTACAAACTGTCCCTCCAAGTTTGAGTTATGTTTCAATCAACTCTTCGTGGTTTCAATTTTGACAATTTGCCCCTTCAAGTTTTAAACATATCTCAATCACCCCATTACCATAATTCTTGACCGTCTAAATTGACAAAAGTCAATAGTAACATAATTAAAAGACATATATACCCTTCAATTTTTTTTTTTTAAATAATAATACAACTCAACCCTCCACAAAAAAAACCCAATGAAAGTCGAAGAGTTCCTTCGGTGAAACTCCAACCCTAACCACATCTCTCCCATATCATCCAAACCACCTAATTCTCCACATAAAAAGCTAGCAAGTTCCTCTAGTGGAAATCAACATTCCCTCAATTGGTGATTTTACCCAGTTCCTTCTCCCCTCCATTGAAAATTGTAACCGAAACCCACCCCCACTCCCGAAAATAGCTCTCAATTAGCCCAAGTCAACCCTTCCTCCAGTGAAACCCCCCTATTCTTGGGTGAAAACGATTTACTCATCAACTATCAATCTTCAACGTCATTGGTATGTGTGTGTGTATATATATATATATATATATATATTATGCATGTGTGTGTGTGTGAGAGAGAGAGAGAGAGCATGCACCTTTCCTCCATCCGATCAGAATCACCTCTAATCAGACCCATGTCGGTGTTAATTAGAGGAAGAGAGCGAAATAGATGCCCACAAGCATGCCACACCATTAGCATCGCTGAAGTCCACACCCATCTCCGCCTGAAATCCAAACCCGCCATCAACTTCACCTAATTTTGCTGGATATTGAATAGGTGGAGTCGAAAATCTTCTGGTGGTTGTGGTGTTGCATTTACAATGGTAATGTTGATTGAATTTAGTTGTTGGTGTGGTATTTGCAAAGGGTCTCCTTTCTTGATTTTCTCTTTCTCTTTTGGTTGGTTGGGTTATGATGGGTGGTGGTTAGGTGATGCTGATGGTGGGTAATTTGGTGGCTGGTGATAATGTTTGTAAAGGATGTGGTGGTAAGAGAGGTTGGGACCGGTGGTGTTGGAGTTGCAGGACCAATTAGGAACAGAGAAAAGAGAAAAAAGGAATAATTTCAATAAAAAAAAATTAAGGAGAGCTGATACCACCACAAAAAAAAAAAAGAAAAAGAAAAAGTTAAGGGTACAAGAGGAATTTTAGAATTTTTTGTTTAATTTCTCTGTTAATTTAGTGCATTTGAACACATTTGAACTTGAAGGGGGCAAATTGTTGAAATTGAAACCACAAGGAATTGATTGAAACATGACTCAAACTTAGATGAGGCATTTTGTAATTAACCCTATATAATTACTCAAAAGAAAAATGGAAAAGTACGTCCCTGCAATTATGTAAATCCTGAGGACTGGAGTGTATTATTTTCGATTAAAACATTGGCACCTCTGTCGGCGTCGGAGATAGACGTTTACAATGTACGCACCACCGCTACCGCTGGCGCTTGGGCACGTGCCCATCGATATGGATCGATCGAAACCAGAGTTAGGAGCTCTCGAAGCGTCATTGCTTCAGATGATCTACGATCATCACCATACCTCTCTCAAACTCCGCGAACACACCGGTCAGTTATACATACACATAACAGACTACATGATTTTTTTTTTTTGTGAAATTAGAGCTAGGGTTTTGAATCTTGAAATTACTTCATGGAATTGTGGTTGATAAGTAGAATTGATTGCTAAATTTTGTTGTTGTGAACGGAAGAGAAGGCGAAGAAAAATGCGATTCGGAGTGCGATGCGTGTATCGGATGTGTTGGTGGATGCTGTGAACGGAGGTGTGCAAGAGGCTTTCATAAATGAGAAGCGGATCGAACTCGAAATTCGAGCATTGGCTGCCACAATTATGCGATTCAGAAAGCAAACCGATCAGTGGCTTGCCGCTTCTCATGCCATCAACACTGCAATCAAGGTTCACAACCCCTTACCTTCTCCTCCTTTCCGTTGGTTTCATTCCTTTACAATGTCTAATCTTTTAATCATATCTCGTTTCCACACAGTATGATAGCTTCTACATTGTAAAGAATATGTCAGTATAAAGCTCAATTGTCCACTACTGGTTAATTGATGGTTCTTCACAGCTGCAACGAATGTATCGATCTGTTTATTATCAGAAAAAAAACTAAAATCTATAATTTTTGAGCTGGAATCTATAGTTTGTCAGACACAGATGCAACAAACAATGGCATAAATTGTGTTTGCTAATGTTCATTTGCTCATCTGAATCATTGTGATTCCACTGGAGATGAAGGAAAAGCTAATCAAATTGTTGTAGCTTACTTATGTTTGTTACGTAGTGCATATGCTCTCGCTGGAGGACATGAGTTGGGGGTGCCCCATTTGCGCCTCATTGCTGGAAGTTTCTCCTGTCTAGGCTTTTAGGGTATGCTTGAGCAAGAAATCGAGTAATTTACTTGTGCATTCAGGCACATTACAAATGTAGAGGCAAAAAATTGGTGTTTCCTCTAACTGTGAATTTGAGATATGATTCCTGGAAAATAATTCTGAACAATCTCCAAATCTCTTTCCTGCAAAATGAACAAACTGTCCAAGATCGAAGTGTTTCGATCAAAGGCACTCCGATGCTTAAGTAAGTAATGGAACAGAGAGAATTGAATCGAGATTAGGAGAGTTCAGTGTACCTTTCACCTTGGTCTCTTCTGTTTTTTATAGGTCATTATCTCTTTAGGGTTGCCATGAATTTGGGTTTAAGGTGGCACACCTTCCTTTAATTCAGTAGTTGAGTTTGAGAAGTTACTGATATTTCTCCAACAATTTCTCTTGATATCCTCAATCTTATTGATTTCGTTTATCTGATTGCCTAAGTTTTAGGCGAATCTTTAACTTTCCTTCTATTGTTTTGAACTGCTCAGACGTATCGAATGCCGAGCTCATTTGACATTTGCCGAACTGTTTAGAGACTTGGTTTGACACAAACCGTACATTCTAGAGAACTTGGCTTGGTACAAGCCAAGCACTTCCCTTGCCTAGCTGAACAGATTCATGAGCTCGGTAAAGAGAGCCAAACTCTTTCATTGTTTGCCGGATCCTTCGATCAGTTCGGCTCGGATCGTATGACTAGGTGAATGACCTCTTCGTCACATGACTAATCTTGTCAATCTCACGTGAGCTTATTTAATGTTCTAACACGTGTAATTATGGGGGGCAGCCCCTTCATTTGCCCCCAGAAAACGTCTGACAGACGTCTTTCGTCTGTCAGCCGTTTTCTTGATTTCTCATAATTATTACTAGTACTTTGGAGCATCCCCTTTTGCTTTGGCGGCACATTCATGGCATTTAAATATTGCCTTTTGAAATTCCTTCCTCTTCATAAACTGCCTCTCTCTTTGTATCTCTTTGCCTCTGCTTTTGTGTTTCGTCTTCTTCAAGTTTGCTCCATCTTTTTTCCAATGGCTCCTCTTACTCCTTCAGAGGTTCCTGCCTTCAAAGCAAAATATAACATTCTAGACGATGTGGAAGTCAGAGTTGTTGGAAAGGATGAACCTCTGATTGGCACAAGAGAAAGAATCCCTATTCCTACTCGTACCATTACTGAAGGTGGGATGCGTTTTCCACTTGATCCTCTTCTTATCTGGGTTCTTTCTGCCGCAAAACTGTGTCCTCTACAATGTTGCCTCAACTTCTTCCGAATCGTTATGGGAGTTTCTTCTTTGAATAAACTTCTTGGTCTGAGTCTTGGGTTGTGAGAGATTTTATACTGCTACATCATCAAGGCCGCTGGAGATAGCTACTATTTTTCAGTGAGGAAGAAGGAAAGGTACCTGGTTACCCACCTTCCTGACTCGAATAAGGGTCACGAGAATGATGTAGTTTTTGTCTGCGGCAACTAGGAATATGCCCCTGGTGCTACCCCATCCTACTGCTGTCCTTACGAAGAAGGCCTGCTAGGTACTTGATACTTCTTCTTTCTTCCCTTTTTTTTTTAACTGCTATAATACTAGTGCAGGAGAGACTGTGAATGGCAAGGTTCCTGAGTCTTCTGTGAAGTTGGATCAACTTCAGAAGGTTTGAGACTTTAACGAATCACTTTTTTGCCAAGTTGCCCACACTCTACTTGGGTACACACCAAGCTACTCATCCTTTGTAGCTGTGTCGAATCGACCTAATGCAACTCTCGCAGCGGATCGAGAGGCTATCTAAGCTGCTCGGGAGAAGACACCCCGAATAAAAAGGAAAACTTCTCAAGCAGCCCCTAGAAGCAAATCAGTTAAGAACTTCTTGGATTTCCTTTCAACGGATGAGCCCACCCCAACTAGCGAACCGACCACCGAGCCCCCAATCACTGTTCTTGATGAGCCGATCACTGAGGTCATCCCCGAGGAAATTCTTCCCGAAGCCAACGATGCAAGTCTACCCCCAATTGACCAAATTAGTTTGGCACCAAATGCTGAAACTTCAATTCCAATTGAACCAGACCCTCCAATTACTGTTCATTCCCCATTTGAAGAAGATGACTTGATTTTTGAAATTGCCAAAGACCGAGCCCCGAAGAGGATTAAGACAGCAAAATCNTACCCCCAATTGACCAAATTAGTTTGGCACCAAATGCTGAAACTTCGATTCCAATTGAACCAGACCCTCCAATTACTGTTCATTCCCCATTTGAAGAAGATGACTTGATTTTTGAAATTGCCAAAGACCGAGCCCCGAAGAGGATTAAGACAGCAAAATCTGATGCCCCTTCTTCACCGAGGCTAGCTAGTGCTCCTTTCCACCCAATTCTTAGGGCAAAAAGAAAAGAAATTACTTCGAAGGATTCCGCAATTGAAGACTTTAATTTTGCAGTTAGGCTTGCTAGAGGGGTTATCTTGCCCCGGGACCTTGCAAAGAACGAGGCGCTAACAGATGACAAAGTGTCCCGGCAAGCCATTCGGATATGGTTTTGGTAAGTCTGGCTCCCTTAGTTTTTCCTTCCTTTAAGCTTCTTGTTNTAGGCTTGCTAGAGGGGTTATCTTGCCCCGGGACCTTGCAAAGAACGAGGCGCTAACAGATGACAAAGTGTCCTGGCAAGCCATTCGACATATGGTTTTGGTAAGTCTGGCTCCCTTAGTTTTTCCTTCCTTTAAGCTTCTTGTTGCTTCTCGAAAATTTTTCAAAGTAATTTCAATCTTCTTACTTTCAAGGGTCTTTAAAAAGTTCACGAGGTCGGAGCTCGGATTGCTCGTAAAGACAAAGCGATGAAAGATGCGATCCATGCCCGAGTTTCGGCCCTTGCCAAAAAAGAGAGCGTAGATGAAGAATACGCCAAGCTTTGCGAAGAGGTGAAGGTTCTGCTGGCTCAAAACCAAAGTCTGTCTGAAGAGAACCAGAAGCTTTCTTCAGACAATGAAAAGTTGAAGGTGTTCGAGCACGAAGCAAATGTTGAACTTTCTCAAGCCTAGCTTGACTATTCCACACTCCTTGAAGAGTTCGATCAATACAAAGCAGGAGCTGAAGAGAAGGCGGACGTTGCTTACAATGAGGGTGTTGACAAGGCTGAAGCTGATCTTGCTCTTCAAATGCCTAAGCTTAAAGAGGCACTCTTTAGCAAGGGCTGGTAGGCTGCTTTAATTGCTGCCGAAGTCAATCCCTCTTCAGAGCTCTTTTTCAAGCATACTTTTCCAAGCTCGTCCCAGACTCCTTCTTCCTGATCAATACTTAAGAAAATTTTTGTAACCCATTTCTTTTTGTACTCTACTGAACTTTATGTACTCTTTAGCAGTTTGAATGAAAAATTGCAACATTTCAGTTCTGCAATTTGCTTTGATGAATGCTTATATAAAATATTTACGCTTTTTAGCAAAAAATCTTAAGGCTCTTTGAAGTTATGGCCATTACTCGGCCCTTCTTCAAAGAGCTTGGTTTCTCGACTGAAACCTTTTTGTACTTAGAAAACATTTGAGTCTTTGAAGTTATGGCCTTGCTCANTGGTTTCTCGACTGAAACCTTTTTGTACTTAGAAAACATTTGAGTCTTTGAAGTTATGGCCTTGCTCAACCTTTCTTCAAAGAGCTCGGTTCCCCTTTAGGAACCTTATTGTACTTAGAAAATATTTGGGTCTTTGAAGTTATGGCCTTGCTCGGCCCTTCTTCAAAGAGCTTGGTTCCCCTTTAGGAACCTTTTTTGTACTTAGAAAATATTTGGGTCTTTGAAGTTTTGGCCTTTGCTCGGCCCTTCAAAGAGCTCGAATAATCCGTAGAGTGTTTCTACTCCACACCGACCTGCCAACCTAGTTGGACTCAAACCCATCCCTTGTCAGCTTGCATCGTCATGCCTAGTTGAGGGCCTGGGTCTGATCGGGTGGCTGCGCCTGATTTAAGTATACAACTTCTATCAAGGTTTTTTGCCTCCCTGCCTTAGTAGTAGGATGTGTATAAGAGGAATATGAATGAGGGAATCTTCAACACTTTTATTAATAATCTTGATTCAGAACACTTTGCTAATCATGGAGAAATTTTTAAGGGACATCCTTAAATTTTCAAAGGCACTTTGGAGTTCTATCCAAAAAGGTACTTTTTTGAAATAGAACTTTCTAAGATTTGCTATATTCTAGGGGCGTGGTATTGCTTTACGATCTAAGTTTTCTAATTCGTAGTACCCACTGCCCCTACTCTGGATACTCTGAATGAACCTTCCCAGTTTGCTCCGAGCTTTCCATGTGCTCGGTTTTTAGCCGACCCTAGTACACGCCTAAGAACTAAGTCACCAAGTGTGAAAGACTGGGAGCTCACATTCTTGTTGTAAGCTCGGGAAAGCTGATTCTGATATGAAGTCATTCTTATGGCAGCCTGTTCTCTTTTTGCTTTAGCTAGATTAAGATCACGTGCGATGACGGCATCGTTGCTGCTGCTTTCAACCAGCTCGGTCTTCAACGTTGGTTAGCCGATCTCCAAAGGTATAACAGTTTCCATTCCATAAGCTAAGGCAATGGGAGTCTCTCCAGTTGACCTCCGAGGTGTGGTTCAGTACATCCACAAAACGTTCGGCAGTTCTTCTACCCATCTTCCTTTAGCATTCTCAAGCCTCTTTTTGATTCCATCAAAGATTATTTTGTTAGTGATCTCTACTTGTCCGTTGCTTTGAGGGTATGCCGGGGTGGAATAGTGGTTTCGAACTCCGTGTTGCTGACAAAAAACTTTGAAGGGAGCACTGACGAACTGCGTGCCATTGCCAGAAACAAGAGTGTGTGGGATGCCGAACCTGGTAATGATGTTTTTCCACACGAACTTTCGTGTGTCACTATCTTTGATATTAGCTAGCGCCTCGGCTTCAACCCATTTAGTGAAATAATCGGTGGCAACTAGAAGGTACTTCTTGTTGTCCAGGGCCCAAGGTAAAGGTCCCACAATGTCTAATCCCCATTGTGCGAACGGCCATGGGCTCGCCAAAGGGAGCAGTTCGTTGGATGGCTTCCTCGGGATTGGTAAAATTTTTTGACA